AATGAATAAATAATTATGTCCCTTCAAAAGGGACATAATTGATCTGTGAAATTTTATATGCTAAATAGTTTAGGAACCCATTCTTAACTATGATAATAAGTTTTAAATATCAAAATTAATAATAATTATATTTTCAAAAATAAAAAAAATTTAAAATCAAAATATATAAAATTCTTATAGTACAAAATTTTATATTTAAAAAATTAAGATATTTAAATTTTTTTAATAATTTTAATTACTATAATAGAAAAATAAATATATTTTTTGTATTGATTATAATATTTAATTAATTAGTAATTTTAAAATTATATTTAAGAAACTTTTTTTTAATATAATTCTAAAGTATATAAATTTATTAAGATTATTTATTTCAATTTATTTATAAAAAAAATAAAAAATTTATTAACAAAGAATTATTAAATCAATAACTTATAAATATATAAAATATAAATTATTTTATTATTAATTTAATTTTCAAAATTCTAAAAAACAATTGTATTATAATTTATATTTTAATAGCAACTCAATTAATTATATTAAATAATTATATCAATTATATTAAGAATTTATGAATTTTAGTAATATATACAATTAAAAATTAATTTAATTATAAAAAATATTTTAAAATATTAATTATATTATATAAAAATAAGATTTTTAATTTTTTTAATAATTACAAAAAAAGATTTAATTTTAATTAAATTTTATAGTCATGTTATACAATAACAACATATATTTAAATATATAAACTAAGTTATACTCTAGCTTAATCAATTTCAATCAATTTTTTATCATATATTAATATTAAATAAGATAATTTTGAAGAAATGATCAATATAGATACTAATATATAATATATATGTAAGTATTTCAATAACTTATTATATATGTAGAAGTTGTATTCTGCTTGATATTTATATCTTTAAATTCGATAATTTAAGTTAATTAAATATTTTAAAATATTTATTAAAAATTTAGAGATTATATTTTATTTGATCTTATGAACTTTTAAATTTGAAAGTAATAATCAACCAAGAATTACAATTTCAAAGTATTTATTAGAAAATATATCTGTACAGTATATCCATATTGGAATCTCTATACTTATAGTTATATAAGTCAAAGATGTAATATAAATAAATTACTTATAAAATATTTACATATAACTCGACTTCTCTAAGTTTAATATGATTAAATCGAACCAAGTATATAGGTTCCCCGGTATCATAAAGGAAAATACTTAAGGTAATAGAATTCTGGTTATCAGATATAAGGTGGAATGTTAAGGATAATCTATATAAAATAGTATATAGATTTTAAATATAATGTTATCCCTTAAACTGTATTGTCGGCAAATTTGCCTACAGTTTTATATTTGCCAACAATTGGCCTGCAGATTAAGGGATAATATTTAAGTTTATTTTTAGAAAAAAATTTTTTAGTTACGGATTAAATATATGATAATAACGATATATAAAAAAGATACATCAATCAGCGGGATTCGGTAACTTTTTTTTTGTCATTATAAGATATTTAAAGTCTTTATCTTTCTTGAAGAGGATGAAGACCAAATATTGTGAAACGAAGTATAGATTACATTTGTTTAATAGAAATTACCAGTTTGGCGGAATTTTATTGACATTAATAGCATTAAATGTCACATTGAATGATGAGGGTGGGAATTTTATGCATATTTGGCAAAAAAGTTTATTCATTCTGTGTGACATCGACCTTAATTAAAATCCGACAATCATTTCCAAGTTCTTTATTTTCTCCGGATTTTCTTTATTAACATGTTCAGTCGAATTTTTTCGCGCTATGCAAGATCAATTAATTCCTTCACCGTAGTTCGAGCGAGAACTACAATCCGCTCGTTTTCGACTAACTTTCCTAATTCCAGTCCTGCTTCTCCCGTGAGTACCATTGGATTAAATCGTACTGCTTTGTTTATAAATGGAGAATTCGTGGAGTCTAAAACTGACAAGTGGATACCGGTTTAT